GAGCCACCAGTCAGGGCAAGGTCTTGTTTCTTTAAAGAAACCAAGAAAGGGCCTGGTTGGCATGAACCTGAGAGGAGAGAGCAGCCACAGAGGTGGGATATGCATGAGCCCAAGACCAGCAGAAGGAGTTTGGAAATGCAAGACACTATGAAAGCCCTTGGCATTTGCAAAGATCTTGGTAACAGTGTCTGACTTCCCACAGATGTGTGATGGGGGCTTGAGCTAATTTTACTTAGATTTCACAGGGCAGGGTGACGTCAACTGACATCTGGGTTACACTTGTTATCAAGGAGTTGAAATGGAGACACAGGAGGCATGCTTATCAAATTTGTAGAGGACAGGAAGCTGAAAGTAGCAACAAATACATCATCAGAATCCACAAGTCTCAACAAGCTGGAATGCCAGCCTGAATGTAATGAGAGGAAACATAATAAGGATGAAGGGAATGTCCTGCACTTGAGACTACAGAGAATAATAAAACAAATGTCTGAACAAAGCACATGGAAAAGGGTCAGAAGTTTGACTCAAATGAGGACCCCCAAAAGCAATGGGATCTGAAGCTGTTTTATTAGAAAAACAGATACAAAGGGGTGAGTAGGGAGTAAGGTTCATTCTTCCTAGTTACACCCGTGGCATGTTAACTTCAGGTCTGCTCACTGAACACTAAGGAGGATGCAAAAGAGTCCATGCAGGGAATGAATGACCAGTGCGATCAAAGAACTGATCAAACCACATAAGGCAGGAGCAGTGATGTTTTGCTAGAGAAGAGAAACATCAGGGAAGAAGTGAAAATTCTCTACATGAATCTAGAATTTTGCTCTGTGAAAAAAGAATTGGGTTTGTAAGGTATGGCTCTGAAGAGTGAAATCAGTACAGAGGGTGGCTATTTCAGGCAAAAATTGCAATAATGTATAATGAAGAAAACAAATGTATCCATTAGGATTTGTTTAACTGGAAGTAACAGAAAACATGATTCATAATTGGTTAAAGCCTCAGGCTTTTCCCAATCTTCTCCACCATCCTCAGAGTGTTGGTTTCATCCTCCTGTCTGTTGCCTCATGGTTGCAAAATGGCTGCTGAAGCTCCACAAAACACAGATCAGCATTCAAAGCAAGGGAGGAGGGTGATGGTGAGGGGGTAGCCAATGTAGCAAAGAGGATGTTTTCCTTAACAATGCTATCAGTTTGTCAGAAAAGAAAATACTTTATCAGATGTCCTCATATATCTCATTTGTCATACTGGATTACATGGCCAATTCTACCTTCAAAAGAAACTATACAAGGAGTATCTAGCTCTTCCAGCCTATATTGTAGGAGGAGGCAAGGAAGAAAGGAAAGGCTTTCTAGTTGCCCTCAACAGTGTCTGCCATATAATTACCTGTAAATCAACTGCCAACAGATTGTCTTAGTCTTTTAATGCAAATATACACATTTATACAAACACATGCTGACATATAAGTTTTCACATATGTGTTTTATAGGTAGTTTCATTTCCTGTTTTCTTTCTTAATATTTTGAGTATCTTTCATAACATTTTGAAAGTTTTTGAAAACATAACTTTCAGCAGCTACATAGTATCCTGTCTGCTCTTCCGCATTCAACCATTCCCCTACTCTTGGACACCTAGGTTACTTCCAGTTTAATACAACTTTCTAGTCATCATCTCCAGACACAGAATGGTGTGCCTTGGAAGGTAATGAGGTGCTCACCCTTGGAAGTATTCTGTCACAGAGACAAAATAGATAATTCAGCGTGGGAGCGGGTGGTCGTCGGACTCTGACATTTCAAGTCCTTCCCCACTTCCTCAAGGTGCTGACGACAGGGTGTCAAAGAGATGGAGATGTGGTAGGAGGACTGCTGTATGGCTCTGTTTCATCTTCCTAGTTTGCTGCCTGAGCACATAGGCTGTGTCACATTCCTCCTCTGGATACTCCCAAGGTCAGCACTCCATACGCTTGTCACACCATCTTCCGCACTATCTCCTGTCAACAAGTACGGCCTAAATCACACTTAACATGCTTTAAAACTGCCCGAATAAAGACAGCAACAGCTCTGGCTCTTATCAATGGGGCCAAACATGAGAATCAGTGTGAAGGACCCATGCCTGGACCAGAAGGACCAAGGATGAAGAGAGTGCAGGACACCAAGAGCTGATAATAACATCCCAGCGATGCTCCTCTATTGCCTCTTGCTGCTTTGAAGCCTATTTGTGGCTTTCCGGCAGCCCAGGGGGACAGGCAGGGCAGGTATCTTCATTGTGGCTGCTTGGCAAACACCATGAGGGTCACGTAGGTGAGCTGGGTAATGGAAGGAATGAGAAGTGTCATTTCCCAAGGTTAGTGTGCTAGGGGATCACAGACACTGGAGTGATGTTAGGGGACAGGATAGACACCTGCCTTATCAGTGAAGGGTTTAATGTCAACCTTTGCTATATATAGTTATGTTTCAAGGGATGTGATCTGACCTAAGTCTAAATGAATCTAAATTTGCCTTCCATGGAACTAAGACACAACAACTTGCAAGATGACCACTCAATGACATCTAGAGATGCTAATGGCAAAAGAACAGCCATTAGCAACTTTGCCAGTTTATTCTCAGCTGTGTTGAGCTTAGCTCATTCCTCATGCATCTTGTTCTTTTAGGGAACATATATTCAAAGGTCAAATAATTTCTGTAAACTTTAGTAATGTCATATTGCTAGCACCAAGCACAAAACAACACACTAAGAAAAGTTGCAATGATTTGGTCTCTTTTCTAAAAATGGAGCTCCAGTTGCTTGCTGGTGTATGGAATTGGAAAGGTCACACAATTTGCAAGGTCAGCAGCCCCAGAGGTCACTTCCTTCCCTCTGAGGGCATTGTGTGTACTCAGAACACCGTACAGTACAAGCACATCTGCACCACCAGCTCATTAGAGGCAGACCAAAGGCTGGAGGGATATGAGTACAAGAAGTTGTTGGTGTCTCAGTTTCTGCCAACAACCGCCCCCAAAACATGTTTCTTAATTTCTCCATGATTTAATTTCTTTATGCTTAAGTTCTTATGAAGGGCCCATGAATCTGGCCACCAGAAGGATCTTGAAAGGTCTTTTCTACTAATAGCTTCCCCCTTTTCCCTAGGTTAATATAAAAGAAACCATCTTTAATTTTATTAAATTAATAAAATAACACTCTGAATGGTATTTACCTTTGAGTTAGGGACAATAAGTCTCCTTTAGTTCAGCACAAGTCTTTTAAAATTCTGTTGAGTCTAAGTCTTAGAATAGATCAAAGTATGTCTAATCTTGGTAAAGCAGTAGTTTGAGAAGATGTTGAATATTCTGCTTATATTCCCTACTGAAACTCTCATAAGAAGCAGGACATTGTATGAGGCAACCAGCTGGTTTATAGAACTGGGCAGGCCATGTCCCTGGTCTCTGGGAACTTTCAGGTTGGAGGAGAAACCAGCAGGACACATGATTAATATGTAAATTAAGAGAGACAGGAGAAGAGATGCTCAGGTCACATATAAACTATGAACAGCTGGCCCTGGCCAGTTTGGCTCAGCGGTTGGAGCATCAGCCTGCGGTCCAGAGAGACCCGGGTTCGGTTCCCACTAAGGGCACGTACCTCGGTTGCAGTTTGTCCCCGACCCTGGTTGGGTTGTGCAGGTGGTGGCCACTTGATGTGTCCCTTTCGCATTGATGTTTCTCTCTCTCTCTTCCTCTCTCCCCTCCCACTCTATCTGAACAAAAAGTGGAAGAGTGTCAGTGGGTGAGGATAAATAAATAAAAATATATATATATATATATGAACAGCTGTAGTAGACACACCTGGAATATCTGTCCGGCCCACAATGACCTCCTTTCTCTGGGATTGCCTCCTCCCTCAGATACTGCCCCCCGCACCCCATGTCTAAATAGACCAGGAGGGGATACCTGCCCAAGCTGAGCCCAAATTCTCCTGGGAATTTGGAACTGTGATTCAGAGCACCTGTAAACTCAGACAATGTAGGGTGGCTATCCCTCTAGAGAAGAAAGAGGACAAAAGAGAACAGAGATGAGCAACCCCCACCCCCAGAGACTGAGAAGGTGGCTGCCTTGGTCACTAATGGCTTTGCCCTTTCTGGTTCCAGGCCCCCACCGGGCTCCTGTGACATTGCAATCTTCCTGAAACATCCTGGCTTCCTATGAGAAATTCCCCCGTTGTCCTTGTGCTGGCTGAGACCGCTGTTACTGCCATTCAAAACAGCACTAACATACCTCTTATATTAAAAAAAAAAAAAAAAAAAAAGATACAAGTAATTCAAAATTACAAATAATCCAAAAGCCACTTTTGGCTCTGGAGGACATTGTGAAATAAATATATTTAAATTGCTGGATCTCACAACACCTCAGATGGAAATACAAGCTCACAAGGAAATCAACTCGATTGGCAGGGAGCAGCAAAGCCTGTCCATTTCCTCTGTCCTGCCCTAGGCTCTCTTCTCTGCGTACTGGTCCTTACAGACAAGGAAGCATCACTTCTTCCCCTTGCTCACAGCTCATCGCCCCCACGCGCCCACACTGCTTCCATCGTGTCCAGCTTTGGGTCTTACGTTGTTAGGTTGTCCACTTGGGGTGCTCTATTCAAAAACCAGACGTGGTTGTGGCAGGTAGTTTTTTCCACTAGCTAAAGGTCTGCCTCCTGGAAGGGAGGCTTAGCCATTGCTTAGATACACTATTTAGTCAATTACACATTGATTTCTTCTTTGCAGTTGGCTACTTTCATCCTGTTTACTGCTGCATCTGCAGAATACTGTGCTATATTTTAACATTGAACAAGAAATAACATTTAGAAGGGCGCAGACCTTAAGACCCTTGCCCTACCTAACAACTTTGGGGGGAGGTCAGTTTTTAAAGGCCTTTTCTGATAGCAAAAAGCAAAAGAGCAGCCTGGGAAAACAGCCAATAGAGGAGGCAAGAAGAGACTGGGCTCCTTTCAGAAAGAGCTCACTAGTAACCATTCCCATGACACAGAACAAGAAATGCCTGAAAGAGAAGCGAGAACGGCCCCTGGGTGGCTGCTTCCTGGCCAGCGGTGTTTTCCAGTGCGGTCCGAACTCCGGATGGAGTGCCATGTAGAAAGGAACCTGTCTGAGCCTCTATGGGAATGAAAATGTTGACGGGATACAAGGAAAAAGAACTATTTCGGAGCTGTCTGAAGGTTTGTTTGGGTGAGGAGAGAATGCTGAGCAGGGGGGTGGGGGTGGGGAGATCACTGGAGCGGGATCTATCTGCAAGGGCTGGGTAAGGCCCCATATTCCTGGAAACAGGGTCCACCAATTGCATTAGAAGAGATCTCTTTGTATAAGCTTCCCTCATGGCAAAATAACCTTTCCTCTTCGTCTTGGCAGCTCCCCGTGGGTAGAATTAGGCTAGGAACACACAGACTCACACAGACTCGCCCACTCCCACTCTCACAGGCACACTTACTTGCACAGAACCACCTACCCTGCTGCGTGTTCCCCGGGTTCCACTCACCACCACCTAACGCCCGCATCTTAGTAGTTTATGGACCTAATAAACCAGGACAGTGACCCAGGATCCTGGCTGGTACCTTTTGGATGTGCACATGAGGAACAGCTTCCATTCTATAAAGGACTTTGTCACGTAGATGGTTTCATTCAATCACAAAACAAAAAAGGCTGGAGGGACCTCAGGGAACCCCCTTCCAATACTACTCCCTCAATTTCCCAATGAAACCAAGACTTGTTGCAGTTACCACCTTCCCCCCCCAAAAAAAGGGATCCTAGTCCAAAGACTCCCTAGCCTTGGCCAGATTATTCTTTGTCTCCCAATTTAATACAACAGGCGAGCCTGGCCTGGCTCTCAGCCCTCTCATGGGAGGTTTTGCCAACAGGCCTCACAATGACTCGCAGGGAGGTTGCCAAGCTCAGGCCCCACCCTGGCTTGTTATCGGCAGGCAGGGTTCTCCCATGACTCTCTGGCTGGCCCTGCAGCCACCGCTCTTTGTGGGACAGCTGTACCTGCCTGGCTGCCGGTGTGTTCAGTCACAGGTCCTGCCTTTGTGTGGTTGATAAGCACGGTCAGGTTCCAAGTCCCACTGCTCTAACACAGGTGTTCTTGCCCTGATTCTCCGAGGAGCCTGTACTATCTTGACACTTTGTCATCTGGGATCTAGGGCGACCCCGGCCTGAGGCTTGGGCGCAGGTAGGAGAGAAAGCCGCAGTCTCTGGGAGTCACAGTGCCAGCCTGTCTTCCCAGAATCACCCTCCCGCGTATCCCTGTAGTTGGCTCTCTTTAATTATTCCTTTGCGCCTCGATCATTACAGTGCTCCCGTGTCCTGGAAAGCTCCTGTCCTAGGAAACACTTGAACCGTTTGTAAAATCACCAACTAGCTTCAAAGATCTAGGCCAATGTTTCTAAAAGTGAGGTCCACGTCAGAAACACTGGAGCTTGTTTGAAAACAAAGGCTGCGTGTCCCGTCTCAGGCTTTCTGAATTAGAATCTCTTGGAGTAAGGCCTGGAAATCTAATTTAAAACACTATATTTTTATTGATTTTTAGCAAGAAAGGAAGAAGGAGGGAGAAAGAAAGAGAAACATCAAAGTGACAGTGGAACATCATCGCCTGCCTCCTGCACACCCCCTCCTGGGGACTGGGGATCAAACCAGCAACCCTTGGGTGCACAGGACAATGCCCAACCAACTGAGCCATACCGGTCAGGCCTGGAAATCTAATTATTATTATTAATATATTTTTTAATCCTCACTGGAGGCTATTTTTCTATTTGTCTTCAGATAGACTGGGAGGGGGAGAGAGAGAGAGAGAAGCATCAATGTGAGAGAGACACATCGACTGGTTGCCTTCCGCATGATCTCGACCAGGGCCAGTGATCGAACTGCAACCAAGGCTCTTGCCCCTGACCAGAATCGAACCCAAGACGCTATGGTCTGCGGGTCAATCCTCTTACCACTGAGCCAAACCGGCCAGGGCTGGAAATCTAATTTTTAAACAACCCCCAGGTGAAGGTGATGTGCATCTAAGGTTGTAAGACCCAATATGAGTCTGACTCAATTATACTTGGCAACGTGGGGTAGTTTTGTTCCCTAGTCCTCCAGATCTTTCTTTCTGAGACCTCTGTGAAAAAAAGTACAAAGTATTTTGACAATGTGAACTTGATGACTAAAATGATTATTTCTTGAAGGCAGGAGTCCATTTCTTTCTCCCTGACTTCACGTCATCAAGTCCCAGTAGTGGACAGGATCACTGCCCATGAAGAATACCTTAAACCAGGGGCTCACAGACCACCTTCCATGCCCCACTTCATATAGAATTTTTAGCCCCCCAGCCTCATCCTGTGGGCTCCAGATCAGAGTTTAGTGACCACTCTGGGGGCACAAATCTACGGTGCATCTCTTTGTGCAGCAAGGCCTCTAGAGCTATCAACCTCCACTTTACCTGTTTGAAAAACAAAATACAGTGATACCTCGGTTCTCGAACGCCTCGGTTTTCGACCAAATGGAGATTCGAGAAACTTTTGTCTCGGAATCCGAACAAATATTTGGAACTCGAACTTCCGAGATGAGCCGAATGGCGTTCATTCGGCCCAGCGCGCCTTGCTTGCGTCATCAGTGTGAGTGCAGAGAGAGAGTCACGCTTTGTGGAGTCACGCTTTCCTATTGGTTTCATTGCTTCGGTTCTCGAACAATTTGGTTCTCGACCGTCCTCCTGGAACAAATTATGTTCGAGAACCGAGGTATCACTGTAACACAAAGATTCTGAGAACTTGTTCCAGCTCTATTTTTAGAAAGAAGCCCACAGGAACGCAGAAGACACCACTCCCTTCAAAAACCAAACACAGGCCAAAGTACCAAGATAACTAAATGAGATCATATTTGTGTGCCCAACACGACTTTTTTGTTGTTGTTAAAACTCACTCCAGGATATCCAGTGATTTTTTTTTTTTTTTTTTAAGCTAGAGTGGAAGGGAGGGAGGGAGAGAGAGAGAGAGAGAAACATTGATGTGAGAGAGACACATCGATTGATTGCCTCCCGCACGATCCCGACCTGGACTAGGGGTCAAACCTGCAACCCAGGTACATGCCCTTGACCAAGAATCAAACCCGAGACCCTTCAGTTTATGAGCCAGCACTCTAACTGCTTAGCCAAACCATCCAGGGCTGCCCAAGGTGACTTTTTAATCCATTGACAGAGGAGTGACAGTGGATTTTAGGTCTGCATCCTTGTTCCAACCATAAGCAAAAAACTGACGATACATCCTACACATATTTTGTGTCTACATCATGCCTCTAAAGAATCCAAAGCACTCATTTTGCCTGTCTCTGTTTGCCCTCTGTCATAGAGGAAGGCAGTTATCCACCCTATTCATAAATAACCCTTCTGTGCTCAGAAGGGTATGTGATTTGTCCAAGGTAGAGCACCTAGGTAACAGCAGAATTGTAGAAACGATCCTTAGGCCAGTAAACCAAGCTACACTTTTTCTGTATGATGCTGTCTCACTGGGTATTCAAGATGATTTAATCTTGTTGGCATTCAGTCTGGAAATAAAGCTGACCCACAGGTCACTCCATTTCTGTATCTTTTTCCCCACCTTTTACACTCTGCTTTCTGACATTAGGGATCTCACCTGATCCTATTATTCATAAGAAAAAAATGTACAACAAATTAGTTAACATTAGAATGTTAAGGATTTAATCTATTATTTTCCCAATAGGCATCTGGATTATGAAAAAGAAGCTTAGAAGAAGGTTGTTTATCCAAAGAAATGGCTAGCTAATGATGAAATTTTGGGCATCAGTGAGACAGAAAACTTCCTGGTGTTTCTTTAAAAGTATACTTTTTCCATTTAAAGTGATTGTTGATAGATATGCAGTTACTGCCATTTTATTATTCATATTTTATCTTTTTCTTTAAGAAGTATCTTTAATATTTTTTTGTAATACTGGTTTAGTGGTGATGAACTCCTTTAGCTTTTTCTTGTCTGGGGAGCTGTTTATCTCTCCTTCATAGCTGTGCTGGGTAATCTTGGTTGTAGGTCCCTGTTTTTCATCACTCTGAATATTTTGTGCCAATCCCTTCTGGCCTGCAAAGTTTCTGTTGAGAAATCAGCTGACAGTCTTATGGGAGCTCCCTTAAGATTCTTTCTTTGTCTTTAAGCTTTGGCATTTTGATTACCATGTGTCTTTGTGTGGGCCTCTTTGGGTTAAAAGGGGGGAAGGAGTTAAGAAATACAAATTGGTAGTTACAAAACAGTCATAGGGAAGATAGTCAATAAAATTGTAATAACTATGTGTGGTGTCAGATGGCTACTGGACTTACTGGGTGACCATTTCATAAGTTACATAAACATCTAATCCCTATATTATACACCTGAAACTAATGCAATATTGTATGTCAACTGTAACTGAAAAAAAATTCTTTTTAATTTTTTAAGTGTTTAGCAGTACTTGGCATAGGATTTTTTTTTTTTTTTAAGTGTATTTATCCACCCAAGCAGAATGCCAAAACCTGTCTATAAGATACCAAACTCTGTTCCAAATCACCTAAAGGAGGTGATGTTGAGATCTGGAATAAAAATGTTAAATAAATCTGAAAAAATTATCTAGCCTGAAGACTCCCCTGTGGAACAAGATGGAGGAATAAAAACTAGATTAACCTTTCTAAAATGACTAAAAAAAACCAGACAAAATATATGAAACAGTAGTTCTCTGGCCCGTGGACCAGACAGGCCTGGGTTCGGATCCCGCTAAGGGCACGTACTTTGGTTGCGGTCCGTCCCCGACCCCAGTTGGCAACCACTCAGTGTTTCTCTCTCACATCGATGTTTCTCTCTATCCCTCCCTCTCTCCCTCCTGCTTTATCTCAAGATAATTGTAAAAATGTCCTCAGGTGAGGATAAAAAACAAAACAAAAACAAACAGAATCATGAGAGGAACTTTCGGAAAGAGAAAACCAGGGCCTGGACATGCTTCTTAAAACAGGACAAGCAGAAGCAGAGCCAGGGCACAGATTTGCTTTTCAAATGTCAACGAGTGTGCTTAATCTGATAAGTGCGACTTACCAGGAGTTCTGCTTCCACACACCCGAGCATGAGGCTGAGCTAGACTGCTGTGCAGGTGACTGCACTCAGGGAGGCTCTGTGCCAAAGGCAGGCCTGGTGTTTCTCTCTCTCAGTCAACCAAGAGGATGATAGATAAGACCATTGAGGTCCCCACTTGCCCCAGTCCTAACCAGACTCACAGGAGCACATTTTCATCTATTTTGCTCACAGGATCCATCACTTAGCTAAAACAAATGGAGCAGATCCTAAAGCAAAGGAGGAGAGAGAACGGAAATGGAAGCCTCAGCAGAGACCGGCCGTTTCTGGGTGGTGTGGTCTGGAGCACTCACCTGCGCGGGCTCCTTAGCTCCTCAGCCTGGTGAGGTGAAACAGACCTCACACCCTGAGGGGGAAGAAGGACCCCTTGGAGAAGGAAGCGCTGCATCTTGGCGGAGGGCCCCTCCCACCGACCTTGCCAGGTCTGCAGCCTCACTGCCGGGCCTGAGTCACTGATCTCCGGCAGCAGCTGCCGCAGACCCGCCTCTCCCGAGTGGCGAGTGGCCACACTGCTGCCTTTCTGCCCTCTCCACCGAATGAGAGGGCCAGGGAAGCGGCCTCTCGGCAGAGCACTCCAGGAATCTGATTTATAGGAGGGAGACACCCCGAGGTGTGAGAACACAAACCCCGAAGAGATAAGAATCTGCAGCACATATTTTAATTCTTTCTTTTCCCTGAGCTGTAGCACTTCTTAGGGGTCTACTAAAATAAACTTTTAAAAAATATTTATTTACTTATTATTGATTCTAGGGAGAGGTGGGGGGGGGGGAAACATCACTGTGAGAGATAAACACTGATTGCTTGCCTCCCATACACGCCCCAACTGGGAATCAAACCTGGGTATGTGCCCTGACCAGGAATCGAACCCTCCGCCTTTTGGTGCACAGGAGAATACTCCAACCAACTGAGCCACACCAGTCAGGGCTTAAAATAAACTTTTTATTAAAAGTGTGAACTTTATTAGTTTGCTAAATAATGTAGCTTTCTCCTTTCACCTGAACATTTTCAAAGATCTCTTTTCATTGCATTTAACTTCCAAGCTGTGGTTCTTCATGACATAATTCTCCTGCACTGATTTTTGCAAACTCAAATTCATGTTAATACCAAGAAAGAAAATTCTTAGAAGTTGTAGAACATCAAAGGCAAGGCTGGCGTTACCCCAATGGACAGTAGACATGCTCAGCAAGTTACTGCCGGGTTTCAGGCTCAGGGTGGGGTCACCAGGAGGAAGAACAATGGGACTCAGCCATTACTCACCACCTGAGTCCATTCTGTCCTTGCAACCCCAGCCAAAAGATAAACACCAAGAGGGAAAAGAATCTTGCATAAATATCACCATGAAAACAAAGAACAATGTGCGTGCGTGTGTGTTATCTGCCCAGTGAGCTCAGGCACAAAGCCATACTGGAGACTTTTTCTCCCACATTATGTAACCACACTGTTCCCTGAGACAAACCTCTGCACCCAAGCAAGGGAAATCCAGATCCCCTAACACTGAAGGGGTTATGAGATAGCCAAGGTCAGACCGCCTCCTCTGAAAAGGCAAAGGAATCAGACCAGGGAATGGAGAAAAGCAAACAGGATCTTTTTCAAGGTCCTCCCATGAATTTTATCATCTGGAACATATGCAAGTAGATTAAGTCCAATAACACAAGCCTCTTTTTTTATTTTAATTTTAATTTTTATCCTCACCCGAGGACATTTTTCCATTTTTGTTTTAGACAGAGTGGGAGGGAGAGAAAGGAACAGAATGAGAGAGAGAGAGAGAAACGTCGACGTGAAAGGGACACATCGAGTGGCTGCGTCCCGCATGACCCCAACCAGGGCCGGGGACAAACTGCAAACGACATACGTGCCCTTGACTGGAATCAAACCTGTGACTCATTGGTCCGCGGGCCTATGCTCCAACTGCTGAGCCAAACTGGCCAGGGCTAACAGGTTTTATAAGGAAAAGGACAGTCTCCTGCTTCACACCACCCCCCTCCAACCACCTGTCTCCTTTAGCCTTTAGCTCTTTCTTTTATCTTTCTTCTAGATTTCTAAATAATAAATTATACCACTATAGATGTATTCAAGTGTAAGATCACTTATTGGCTTCCTATTCTGTTAGAAGAGTCCTACACCTTTGTCCCTATTTTGTCTCCCCCTATCCTTCCTACATAGGTAAATTATAATTTTTGGTTAAATCAATGGTCCATGTTTACAGTACTAAATGTTCACACTGAGGACAGAAGTAGACTATAATTTTCTTTGTCTTTGGCATCGAGTGTAGTTACTCAGAAGTCCTGTGCCATGCAACTCTGTTCTTGTGAAGAGAACCTGTTTCATTCCTCTAGGGGAGTGTCTAGGGTCTTTACTCAGTTTCTGAAATTTCAAAATGGTGTGTTGATCTTTTCAAAAGCGTACGGAAAATTTCTGGTATTATTTCTTTGACAATTATTCAGCCTCATTTTCTTGATACTCTCTTTTTGGAGTTCCTATTAGGTGAGTGTTGGCCCTCTTGGGACAGTTCTTTAATTTTCTTATCATTTTTTTCCCCTGTTGGCAATCTTTATCTTTCCGTTAATCTTTCTGGAAGATTTTCCCACTTTACCTTTTCTAGCTCTTCTATTTTGAATTTCTAAGAACTCTTATTTCTTGTTCTTTTATCTTTCCAGCATTAAAGCATTCTGCTTCTGATTGATCAATGGGTACAGCACTTCCTCTTATCTCCCTAAGAACATGAAATATGCTTTTTGTGTGTTTGCAAAGTTTAATTCTGTTCCCCTGTATTATCTATTTTCTCCTAAATCTTTTTCCCTGCGTGAATGATTTTGGTCTCTTTCATCTTGGAGGCTTTCCTCCAGAATCAGGTGACTTTTGGATGTCCATTCACATTGAAGACTAGGACCCCAAAATCTGACTTCCTGTTTCCTTTCAGGCGTGTGGACAGGACTTGTCAGCTGGTGATTTCCTCTGACAGCGACTGGGTAGTGAGCCAGCCTTTTCAGGGTGGGACCCGACATGGCATTCTCTGCAGGTCTTTTCTCTGCAGCCACTCAGTACCCCCACCTGGCAGAACCCGGGGAGTCCTGCTGCACAGGATGGTGCCTGGCTGCAGCAGAGGCAGGGGCCGGTGGCAGAATGGCCACCATGCAGTGATTGTCAGCTCTGACTCCCTTTCCCCTGGTACCAGCCGGACACCTCACTCCTGCTGTCCGCTAGCACCATGAGGCTATTTCCAGAGTCATTTTAGTTCAGCACCTCTAGAGAAAAACTTCCAGCCTTATGCAAGCAGGCGGCAGAAGAAGGGGAGGAAGAGGAATAATCTGGTTGCATGGGTAGGGGATGACACTTGGGGATCTAATCCCAGACTTCCAAGTAATTCCCTGTATACAGTTCTCAACTCTTCCCTGTTTCCTGCAGCACCTGGTGCCACAGAACCTCCACCTCGCTCCCCTGGGGTGGGGGTGCACAGACACCCCTCCTTAGAATTCCCCCTGCAGGCTAAACTAGTCGCTACCCCTCCATCTGCTTTCCATCTGCCAAACCGCAGAGTCATTTATAGTCTGCAGTTCCCCTTCCATGGCATCTGTTTTCGTGTATTTATACCTTTTTTTTATTCTTCTACTAGAATTCTTAGTTGGAGTTTTGGAAAAGAAAGTTTTCAGTCGGCTGTGTTTAACCAAAAACTGTTTCCCACTCTTTAGATTTCAGATTTGCTCTGCAGAAATCTTCTTGCCTATCGTCCCTGGAGCCCATTGGGGTAGAAGATTTTAACCTTGGATTTTTCAGGTATTGGATGCATGGTCGCATTTCCTCATATAAAAAATAAAGAGAGGGGAGGGGTTCTGTTTAGTAAAAAATTTGGGGATACATTGCTAAATTATAATAGCAGAATTAAATTAAATTGCCTGCTGTGTTAAGATAATATTCATGGTAATAACCAAGTGGAGTAGGCACACAGTAAACCCATTGTTCAGATGAGTTCCACAGAAAAGGTGGCCTTGACCCTCTGGTGGGGGGTGAGAGTCCTTTTCTGATGCCCTGTGACCTAGTTCTTCTCTTATTATGTTTCCTGTCCTATATGAAGTCCAGATTTTCCACTAAATTGTTAATTTCTTAGTTTAAAAAGTTAAATGTGGTTCAATTTAAATTTGGGGAAACAAACAAACAAACAAGAGTCCTACCTGGTTATCTGGAGGAATGTAGAAGGAAAAAAACGAAGGTCTGTAACTGTGAGGGTGTCTTAGTCCATTCAGGCTGCTCTATAACGAGTACCGTGGATTGGATGGCTCACACACAAATTTATTTCCCACGTTTCGGGAGCAAGTCTGGTCAGGGAGCCAGCAGGGTTGGGTTCTGGCGCGGGAGGGCCCTGCTCCAGGCGGCACACCTCTTGTGTCCTCGCATGGAGGAGCGGAGCGTGCGGGAGCTCTCTGGGCTCCTTTATGAGGGCACTAATCCCATTCATGAGGGCTCCACCCTCAGGACCCAATCACCTCCAAAGGCCCCACCTCTAAATACCATTACTCTGCAGATTAGAATTTCAACATATGAATTTGGGAGTTGTACATAGTCCATCACAGGAGTGATATTCCAGCTCTCTTTGTGCCTTTACCTTATGCTTACTTTAGATCATCTTTCCTTACTGAGATGATTAACTTCTCAGTTGCCAATTTAAAATGGTCTCACACGCCCTGGCCAGTTTGTCTTCAGTGTTTAGCGCATTGGCCCGCGATCCAGAGAGTCCCGGGTTCAGTTCCCGCTAAGGGCACGTACCTCGGTTGCAGTTTGTCCCTGGCCCCAGTTGGGGTCATGTGGGTGACAACCACTCGATGTGTCTCTCTCACATCGATATTTCTCTCTCTTTCTCCCTCCCAATCTATCTGAAGTTGAATGCAAAAATGTCCTTGGGTGAGGATAAAATAAATAAATGAAAAACATTAAAATGGTCTCACACTTCCTTATGCATTTTTAAGTCAATAATCATTCGAGAAACAGAAATTTTTTTCTGTAGTATTTTTCTCTTTAAAAAAAATTGTTTTTTGCCCTGGCCAGTTTGGCTCAGTGGTTAGAGCGTCCGCCTGCGGTCCGGAGAGACCTGGGTTCGATTTCCGCTAAGGGCATGTACCTCAGTTGTAGTTTGTCCCTGGCCCTGGTTGGTCGTGCGGGTAGCAGCCACTTGATGTGTCCCTTTCACATCGATGTTTCCCTCTCTCTCTTCCTCTCTCTCCCTCCCACTCTATCTGTACAAAAAATGGAAAAATGTCCTCGGGTGAGGATTAAAAAAAAAAATTGTTTTGCTTTTATTGACTTTAGAGAGAGAGGAATGGAGAGGAGGAGAGAGATGGAAACATCAATGAGAGAGAACATCGATTGGCCACCTCCTGCATGCCCCCACTGGGGATTAGGCCGACAATTTGGCCATGTGTCCTGACCAGAAATCGAACCGGTGACCTCTTGGTGCATGGGTCGATGCTCAACCATTGAGCCACATCAGCCGGATGTGTTTTGCCTCTTTGTAGACTAAGATTTGATGCATACTCTACCTGCCAAACATTGACCCCGTGAGGGCTGAGGACTGTCTCCATTGTCTGCTGCTCACAGCACAAGGCCCAGCACATCACAACACAGCCCTCAGGGGCTTCCAAGAGACCTTCAGGTTTTTCTGGTCCAATCCCCTTATTTTACAGGTGATCTAGGCAAGCCCAAACGAGATGAAATGACTTTCCCAAGGACTCCGAGAAAGATGCCGAGCTGAAACTTGACCTGACCGCCCAGCTCAGAATTAGCACCCTCCACGCTACTACACTGCCCAGAACAGGTGTTCAGGGAGTGTCTCCTGTCCACATCACAACTGAGTCCTCCGTGTTCTCTCCACTGTGGCCCAATTTTCTCTCTCTTTTATAAATGCTATTCTTTCAGCAGCAATAATGAGTAACATAAACCTAATAGCTAATGACATTAAGGGGAAAGAAAGCTAGGACCTTAAATATTAGATGACCAAGTGCATATCCTAATATACTACACAATCAAAAATACTCTCTATCAATATTTCCATCAATTTATTCTCTCATAAAGCATGTCACAGGGGTGAATATTTTCTGCCCATGGATGCTGAATGCGTTTGTGCACCTGTGGAGTCTTTACTGTGTTTAACTTGGCAAGACGAGCCTCCATTGACCCCTGTGCTCTCTGATCTGAGCGCTGCCTTGGTCAGGGTCATCTGAGTGAGTTGAGATCTGAACATTCAACTGCAGGTAGATGCTGATTGTTTGTCTTTGTGTCTCACCCCAGCGGACCTGCCCCACATCGCCGGTCACTCATGCACTTGGGAACGGTCACTGGGGACCTACTGCATGCTGGGTACTGTTCTAGGCCCCCGGGATGCAGTATGAGCAAAACAAGGCCCCTGTACTTTGGGAGCTTACATTCTAGCAACAAGCATTAAAGAAACAACAAGGTAAATTACGCAGCACGTGGAACATGGGAAGTGCTGTGGGGAAAAGGAAAACTGTGCGGTAAGTGCTGAGGTGAGGTGGGCAGGAGGAGGTAATGTTGGCCCGAAGACTTGACGGTGGTGAGCAAACGAGCCATGGAGCTATCTGGGAAGAACCTTCCCAGCAGACGGAACAGTCAGGTCCGCAGGTGAGCGTGTGTCTGGTCTGTTCGACACACTTCCCGATGGGTGACATTTGGAAAAAGAATCCTGTGTAAGAGAGAGTTATCATCCCCTAATTCCAGACAAACCCAGAGTAAAGTAAAATAAAACTTCCAGAAAGAAAGAGTGAGAGCCCGGAGGTACCGAATCTGTTCCAGTGGCCTGGGAGATTTAGGAAACCAGACGAGACACCTGAGCACTGACGCCAGCACTTGACATTCGAGAAATCACCACATAAATGACTAACGCGGGGACTGACCATCACTCACCTTTGGAGTCGCAGCATCTGGCGCAGAGCCGGGCACAGGCGGCTCGAGAAATGCCTTGGGAGTAAGGGAAGGACTAAATGAATGGAACCGTCCTCACACGTGACTCTTTCTCTCGTGCTCTGTGGGATAAAGGACTGGAATCAGACCAAGAGCTGTGCTGGGAGGTCTGCTGCAAACTCGTCCTTGAACTGAATTTACTTATAAGAACAGGGATTGATCTCAAAGAAAAGTTCTGCAATCCTTTTTTCTATTCATTGATTTATTCAGTCAGTCTTATTAAAACCGAGTCCATGTATTACGGAGTCTGAGAAGTAAGTGTGCTGCTGAGACATCCAGGCACGTGGGAAGCTGTAATCTGGTAGTTGAACTGGCATATGAGTACAGCGTGTGTGTGTGTGTGTGTGTGTGTGTGTGTTCAAGATGCGTGTTAATGGGGTGGGGAAGAATGGATATTAATAGAGTCTATAGATATACAAACCTTTTATGAAGGTATTTATATACATTCAGTGTGATACTGAATCACACCAAGGTTCTTTTGGTTAAAGTAAGAGAAAGCACTTCAAAATCACTCAAGCAATAACAAGGAATAATTTATTATAAACTGTATCCTGGAACCTCCAGGCAAGATTTTACTCAGATGTCCCCAAGGAACTGAAACCCAGAGCCAGCGAGCCAGTGGGACCACGGCAGCTCCCACAGCCTTGCTGTCTCCCATGCTCCCTGGAGGCCTCGTGCCTCCGACCCGGCCCTGGGCGTGTGCACCCCGCCTTTCCCCGGCGGATCCCTTTCGTCCCTGGCCATCCACACAGTCTCCCCACCACGCCGGTTTACATCCCCTCAGCTTTAGCAGTAAGTGGAGCCCGCGACTGGTATTTTCCAGCCTCAATTCCAATGTCACAGGAGAAATGACCTGACAGGCACTGGTTGGGCCACGGTCTCCATCTGCTCCATGTCACCCCACCCGTGGGACAGTCACTCCTTCAAACATGGAGGCCAGGGTGTTGACAACTGACCCAAGTCTATTGGGCCATCACATTCCTCAATTCTTTTTGGTAGGTGATGGCGAGCCGGTGGTTAGAGGTATGTAAGAGCCATAGTTCCCTCCCCAGTACCTCCCTGGGGGGGGGGGGTATGGAAATGAAGGCCACACATACAAACATCTACAAAACACAGGCACAAAATGTTATAGCACCTGTTCATATCAACTCAGAGAAGTACCAACTGACAACACCTCGCGGGGACAGTTCGCCGGAGGACGGGAGGAGCGACGGCACTCCAGCACAGGGTCGGCTGCGCTTCCACGAGCGGTAGCGGCTGAATCCTCCAGTGCGCGGAACAAAGCCCTTGGCCCAGCGGCCCCTGAAGAGGGTTGAGCTAGTGGGCTCAGTCTAACATGTACCACCTTGATTTAAGAGTAGAGGTGCCTTCGCCATATTTTTGGCCAATCCACAGTTCATCCATGAAAATCCTTGTGCTAATTAACAGACTGCTAATCTAGTAAAGATGTAAGTGATTGTCTTCTGCCACCTCTGGAGAGTGGACTGCTGACCAGGACCCTCCAAATGTACCTACCATGCCCTGGGGTGCCGATTCCTAATTAGGGACTGCAAATGGTAACCAGCCAGCCCTAAGTCTAGGTGAAAACACACACACACCATGGGTGGTGGCGGTGGGTTGATTGCAAAAGGGCTCCTACCAGATGAATTGGCCAGCCCCATGAGCAAATGAGTCTGGGAATGTTCTCTTTAGTTGGACGTTATCTGAACAATACGGGGGTCTCGTTATCAAGGAAAAGGAGAGAATACAGGTTGGGTGGGCAGCCCACCGTCCCTGCTGCCCTCGCAGATCTCAAGCAAATCTCCTAACCCTTGTCTCAGTTTCCTTATCTATGACACATACTAGCAATACCTACCCTGCCAGGTTCCCAGGGTTTATGAGAGAATCCAATGAAAACACTTTGAAAACTGAGAAGCCTTGTTCAAATATATTTATTCTGACAGTTTATACAAGAAACCAGAGTGTTGTATAATCATCAAAAGAGTCATTCTTTCAAATCAAAATATAAGCAAGCACTTACTCCTGATCCCTAAAGTTCACTTATATTTTCCAGACCAAACTAAAAGTGCCATTTTTTTATTGTCAGGGGTCCCACGTGGCACTTGCTAGTTTATGGGAGGCTGACCGGACATACACGGAGGTGATATGAGACTATGCAACATTTACTGGGGCTTGCTCTGTGCCAGGCGCGTTGCCCACAGATGATCTCGCTTAATCCTCACACAGACTCCTGGGTGGGCACTGCTGCACCCTCTCACCCTGCTGGGAAGGAAACGGACCAAGTACCGTCAGCACCTAACACAGGCAGAGTGGAGAGCCAGGGTTTGATTCTGAGCCATTCTTCAATTCTAAAATGCTGTGGCTTCCAGCCCGGCCAGTGGAGCCCAGTGGCTGAGTGTCGACCCGTGCACCAAGAGGTCACCAGTTCGATTCCCGGCAGGGCACACGCCCAGGTTGTGGGCCTGATCCCCAGTACGGGGCATGCAGGAGGTGGCCGATCAATGTTCTCTCTCATTGATGTTTCTATCTCTCCTTCTCCCTTCCTCTTTCCCTAAAATCAATCAATAAATAAAAAATTTTTAATAAAATAAAATGCTGTGGCTTCCAGTCCTTGTGTACTGGGTAGAACTGTGCCCCTCAAAAAGATAAATTGAAGTCTTAACCCTGGCATCTATGAATGTGACCTTATTTGGAAACAGGATCTTTGCCAATGTAATCGAGTTAAAATGAGGTCACACTGGATTAGGGTGGGTCCTAATCCTATGATTGCTCTCCTTATAGGAGGAGGGAATTTTGGAGACACGGAGAATATCATGTGAAGGCAGAGGCAGAGATTGGAGAGATGTCTCTACAAGCCAAGAAATGCCAAGGATGGCTGGCAAACACCAGAAGCTCGGAAGGAGGCTTGGGGTGGTTTCTCCCTTAGAGCTCCCCCATGGAACCAACCTGCCAACACCCGGGTTTGGACTTCTGGCCTCCAAAACCGTGCGAGAACAAATATCTGCTGTTTTGAAGCCACACAGTCTGTGGTAATTTATATCAGCATCCCTCGGGAACTGATACACCATGTGAATATGTAATGGTCCTGTAAGAGCCTGGTGTGGCCTGCTGTTCTCTCCACCGAAAGTGCACGGGGTCCAGCTTGTTTGGGGCACAGACCCCGCAGGTCCTTCCCCAGGCCTCTCCTGACATACAGGGCTGAGCAGAGGGAGGGCGGGCCTCTCAATGCACCTGGTGATACTGAGTTCAGCAGAGTGGCTCAGCCACAACCAGGAGAACTGACCCCTGTGTTCAGGCCACCAGGTCCACCGGGGCAGGGCAAAGGGATCACCCATCACTTTTCTTTCTACTCTTTTATTTGGACCGCACTGAAATCTTTGTGGGGAACTGAATCTATTTGCTGAGTGAGGAAGCATTTGAATTTTGCTACACTCCCCGATTTCTGCACCGTTTGGTCATTCCACCTTCAAAGTATTTGTCAATCAACACATCACCTGTGCTTTTTTAAAAATATTCCCCAAAATGAAAAGCCGGAATCGCCTGCCATGAATAAAAAGTAAAAATGTTGAAATAAATCAATAGTTAGTCCTCTACTATCTCTTAGGGAACATCCTAGCCAGGAAAAGGGTGTTTGGTAAATGGGGGCAGGATCAATGCTATTCTGATAGGCCAGAGCATTTTTATGAATAAAACAACTTTGAAAACTACTATGTAAAAAGTAGTAACAAGAAGAAAAAAGTTTATTATTATAAACTTTACTGTTGCACTGCTATCAAGATCCTCAGACCACCAGAGATCCA